TGTGTGTGTGTGTGTGTGTGTGTGTGTGTGTGTGTGTGTGTGTGTGTGTGTGTGTGTGTGTGTGTTTCTTTCTAACCTCTGTCACACAGTCGTCTCACCATATTTGTAGCAACTCTGTAAAATAGAAACATTATTTCTTCAAAGGTCAGTGAGGTGATTGTAGGTGTTTGTGAGGACCAATAGACAAGTTTTATTCTTCTGAAGAAACTTTTAGCTTCAGTTTGACACAAAATAAACACAAACATGCTGATGACAAATAAGTCAACTGTTTTTCTGTGTTAATTTTTTGAGCACGTGTGTTTTCTGTGTGTGTGTGTGTGTGTGTGTGTGTGTGTGTGTGTGTGTGTGTGTGTGTGTGTTACCCGGTCCCCAGAGAGTGACCCCAGACGTAAAGTGGCAAAGATTTTTCTATCCTCTGTTTTAACCAATCATAAACGAAGAGAGCATCTGACGTCATCGCTCCCTCTGAAGGAGATCCGCTTGAATCTCCCCAACCTAAAAACACAACAATTTTGTATTTATATTCTTATAAGGACATTATGTTAACTTCCATTTGTGTCTGTAGCTTTACCCTGACCTTCATCCTGTTCCAAACATTCCTAATAACTAAATGACCTACAAATAAGTGAAGTGCTCTACGTTTTTCTCAACTTCAGAATAAAAGTCCAGTTGTTCAAAAAATTAAAGGGATATTTGGCATTGGTGGTGTCATTTTGTCCCATATTTGGACTTTGGCTTTTTGGAGGAGAGCATTGCGGTGACTTAGTGTACAGGAGAGGCTTTGAGACTGTTTGGACATTAAACTGCAATTATTGGGTCATATACAGACACATGGGACACTTGTGTTTTACGGGTGTAAGAAAATATCGACACACTGAAATATCGCGATATTTCATTTCCCGATACTGTATCGATATTCTAAAGCCCTGTATCAATTTTTAATTAAGGTTTAAAATGTCAACTTTCTTGCCAACCGTTCATTTTTATGTTCAGCCTCTGACCACTAGTTGGCAGCAGTGAGCCAGCCATTTGGCTCCTCTACCTCTTGAGTGCCAGAGAGTAAGAGTAGCATTAGCATTGTAGGAGACAATGTAAGCATTGTAAGTAAACATTAGCTTTTTTTTCAGTAAGAGGTTTTTATTTAATAGAATTTTTGGACAAAAAAATCGCAATATATCGCCTAGTTTACAGTATCGCAATATATCGGGATATATCGTATCGTGACCCCTCTGTTATATGTATCGTATCACCAAATTCTTGCCAATACACAACCCTATTGTGCATCCCCCACACCTTCCAGACGCTTGGCAACCAAAATCATGGGACACTTGGTACACGGAGACGCACAGACATCAGAGGAGCTTCCCTTGGCCTTTGGGACATTTGTCAAACAGGGACACATGGGATTAAATTTGGTATTAGACCCAAATGTCCAATTGGGACAATTGGGAATTATGATGCTCCACCTGGTGGTCATTTTGGGGTACTGGGACATTTGGGAATGTTCCAAATTTTCTACCGGGCTAACTGTAGGGGCCACATAATGCCCCTGGCCCGCATAACTTTTCCATGCCGGTCACCGATATTTAGGAGGTTTGGTTCGGCCGTGAAGGATTTTTGAATTTGGGACATTTGGTGCTATAACTTTTGTATAGGCCGTGTGCCAAGTGTCCAGCACTGCCCTAAGCTATGGTTTAGAATGGATCCAAACCCTAACGTAACAGTACCCCTGCATCAATGTCTACGTTTCCATCATCTGAAACAAGTTCTCACCTCTGTAGTCGAATGTTACCACATGATAACCCAATGAACTGAGGACCTGAAGGAAGACAGGATACAGGTCAGGTGGTTCCTCTCAGCAAATCAGAAGTCAGAAAATGAAAGCAAGAAACATGGACACAATAAACCATTTCCTTCTGGTTTTAAAAATAAAATTTGTTAAAATTTATTAATTATAGAGTCAGACTTGATTTTTTATCAAAAAAAAAATCAAATTATCTGTAAAAAATGTTTGCAATTTAAACATCTAATCTAAATGTGAAGCTAAATATAAAAAAAAACTCTTCAGTTCCTAAAACTGAACTTGAAATTTTTATGACAAAATAACAAGAAGTCCTGATAACATTTCCTGAGAAAGAAAATCAACTTTAAAATGATCATTTTTTGAATAAATAAAAGCTTTAAATCCTTTAAAAAAAGTTTCTGGCTCTAAACAAAATGAAAACGTTTATGATGGTTAAGAAGTAAAACAAACCTGCAAAAAATTAATTCAAAACCTGGAAAAAGGATTTTTAGCAGAAGAAAAATATTACTTCTTTTAAACTTTAATGAAACTTTCTAAGGTCTTAAAAGCATCATTATTCATAAAAACATTTTAAAAAATACTTTTTTAATTTAAAAACTGCTTGCATTAAGATATACAGTTCCTTAAATAGTATTAGACTTTATAATAAAAGTCCCAGAGCTCATTTATAACCTCGATCACAGTTGAAAAGTTAATTTTAAATTCCTAATAAATATCTGAGCTTATAAAAGATGCTGCTGAGGTCCAGACAAAAGCAAATTCTGGTCCTGCATCAGAGTTCCTAAAGAAATATTCAAGTAAATAAGTTTCAAATAATATTAAATTAAACAAAAACCTCCTTATTCAACAACATCAACAACCTTGATTATTTCTGAGCTGATCAATGATTGTTTTTTTTTTATCTTGACCTGATAACGTATCAGTTACAGCTCTCACTTTGTACAGCTGAACCCTGTGGTCTCCTCCTCTGGTCCCTGCGTTTCCATGCAGATACAGTATGACTGGGTGGGAGGAGACAAAGGTGGAGTCGTACCAGTCACCATCTTTCCCCTGAGCTGCTCTCCACATCTGAGCTGGAACCGTGTGCCTGCAACACAGAGACGTGACCTGGGTCACTGTGGCGTGTAGTCTGGGTTTAATTCTGACTGAAACACATGACACCTCCAACACGAAAGACCAGCACAACAAAAACAATCAGAAAAGAGACAACTCTAACGCTGGCTCTCTAAATCACAGGAAACCACAGAAAATATGTGGCTGTTCAGCATCTGGGCCTGGCTGACAGAGCAGTTAGCTGTGGGCAGAGTGTGTGCTATACTTAGGCTCACTCAACAGAATTTAATGACACTCAGTAATCATTGGATGGATATCTGATGAACTTTTGGAGTCAGTCCAATTCAAACTGGTTGATGGACCTCAGTCAACACAAATGACTGGGAATGACAAATGAAGTCAGCTGGTTTTACAGATAATAAGCTATGGTTTGGTGTGGTAGTAGCTGAGAGTCATCCCCAACACACTGAACCCTAACTCATCCAGCAGTGGTCTCTGCAGCACAAAGGAAGAGTTTCCTGTCTGTGTGGGCGGAGTTTGTCCTATCTGTGATTGGCACTTTGTAATATAGGTGGAGGGTCTTGAGTGGGCGAAATATAGGAAAAAGATGAAGTAAAGTAATACTAAAATTATTGTGAATATGTAAATATACAGTAATTTACTGACTGAATATTTATAGTTCACAACAGAACAATGTCTTAAATTAAATAAATTATTTGGAACTAGGGCTGCCATGATTAATCGACGACTAATTTAATAGTCAAATATCGTTTTTTTTTTGTTCTTTACTTTGTTTTTCTCTCCAAACTGCTTTGACACCTTCCACTGCCACGTC